GGCTGGATTCGAACCTGCCACCTTAGGTGTATGTGGCTGGTGCCTTAGCCACTTGAGCCACAGGTGCCGAGTCACAGTGGCCTTATAGTTCACTGCAACATGAAACTCCTGGGCTCAAGCAATCCTTCCACCTCAGCCTCCAGTAGCTGGGATTATAGGCCAGCACCACTATGCCCAGCTAATGTTTTTATTTTTTGTAGACATGGGTCCGCTATATTGCTCAGGGTGATCTTGAACTCCTAACTTCAAGCAATCCTCCTGCCCCAGCCTCCCAAAATGCTGGAGTAAAAGGCATGAGCCACCGTGCCCAGCCTAGGACCTACCCTTTCTGATAGTGGCTTTCTAAACTTTCCTCTCCTATCTGAATTCACAAAAACTCAAAATTAGTTCACTCTTTCAACAAACACTGGGCAATGTGTACCTCCCAAACAACCTTCTGGAAGACATTATAACCTCAAAAGGGCAAAGGCAATTTGAGGCCTCTTTGGAGGGCTGGTAGGACGGAAATCTGGGAGTGGGTAGAATTCATGACATTAACAATTCTGACTCATAGTTTCTCTGAACACTTGGTAAGGGGTGGTGCATTGAACAAGGTCAGTCTCTGCAGTGATAAATACAAAGTGAGTCATTGCTGAGGGCACCTGGATTGAAACTGGGCTGCCTGCCAGAAAGGAGGGCATGAAGTATTATCCTTTTGTGATGTCAGCCTGAGGTCCATTTCTTTGTGGTCCATACTGAATAAATCCTGGGATGCAAGTCGTTGTCCTTGTCTATATTCAAAGAGCGATTACATAATTTGCTTCGACCTTGGGGAAACAACTTCACCCCGGTTTCTTTTGTTTTTAAGAAACAAAGTCTTATTTTGTCCCCCTCGGTAGAGTGCTGTGCTGTCACAGCTCGCAGCAACCTCCAGCTCTTGGGCTTATGTGATTCTCTTGCCTCAGCCTCCCAAGTAGCTGGAACTATAGGCGTCTGCCACAATGCCCGGCTATTTTTTGTTGTTGTTGTTGCAGTTTGGCTGGGGCCGGGTTCAAACCTGCCACCCTTGATATGTGGGGCTAGCACCCTACCCACTGAACCACAAGCACCGCCCTCACCTCAGTTTCTTCACTGGTAAAATGAGTATAGTATAACTTCCCTAACAGGCTGGGAGGGCTAAATAGCATAAAGTTCCTAGACCAAGACCGGCCTGGTACATACGGGATCACAGTCAGCTCTCCTGTCTGCAGCCTATTCTTTTTCTATATTTGGGCACAGATAGAAACAATCATGAATGACCTCACCTCTGGATATATATATATATATATATA